TGTAGTGCTTCACACAAATTCACGTGGTCCTGCTTCGCGGTGGCAGCGGCGTGGGGACAAACCCTGACCCACGGGGGGAGAAGGCATGTGTGGAAGTCACTAAAATGCCCGCCGGGTGGGCCACACACTCTCGGGGAAGAATCATCAGGGTGTTCAGAAGCCCAGGGAGGAGGAAAGCATTTCTGTTTCCTGGGAATTCGGAAAAACTACTTGAAAGAATGAGCTCTTGAGAGGAGCCTCGAAGGCTGATATAATAAAATAAAACAATCTGTTTTCATAATAATAATGTCATCATTACCATCATTATCATCACAGCAGTGAGCATCTACTGCTCACTTAACGCAGGCACCACGCACAGCACCTTACACAGCTCGCCCCATTATTCTGTGCTCATTTGACAGATAAGGAAACGGAGGCTTAGAAAGTTAAGAAAACTAGGAAGTGTCGGAACACAGATTAGAACCCATGTCCCTGTGTCTCCCAAGGCCGCCAGCAAGGGCTCCTTCCAGGCAGGGTCTGAGTGTAGGTGGACGGGACGCAGATATAAGGCCAGGGATGACCATCTGGGGACAGGGCTAGGGCTGGGAGCACGGCCGCAGCCAGGTCCGGCACCTGTCCTTGTTAATGGACAAGAGAGCACCGAGGGAGGTGTGATGTAGCTGGGCCCACCCGCGGGATCACTGGGAAAGTGGACTGGGGCTGACAGCCGGAGGGAAGGGGCTGTCACCAAGGTCTGGGTGTGACTCTGCAGCTGGGTGAGGTGAGAGGGTGTGTGGGTGAGGGATGGAGGTTAGGTACGTGTCAGAAAGGGAGCGTGTGTGCATGTGTGAGCCCACGTGTGCGTGAGGGCCCAGCCCCCCCTGCTCGGGAAGATTGCAGTGTTGTCCAGGAGGAAGGAAGGGACAGGACAAAGCAACCCAACCGAGCTGAGCTGGAGGGCTTTGGGAATGCAAGACCACCATTTCACGGCTCCACCGGGCCCTGGGAAGCCTGCCCAGCCGAACACATCCGAGGGATTTTTTGTTAAAGGGAGGCCATGAATGAATTTAAGACCTTGGCCTCTGGTCTTTTTGGAGCCCTGGCTTTGTCCTCTGGCTGTGTGGGGGTCGCCGGTGTTCCAACTCCCTCCCTCTCGGCCCTCTCTGGCCCAAGTCAGATATTCTGAGCAGTGGGAACAGCCGCATTCCCATGGCCCAGCTTGGTCCCCAGGGCCTTAGCCCCCTTCCTGGACTTCATGCTCCACCTCCCTCCCCCACCCCGCCCTGAATATCTTTGTAACAAATGTGTTCCTGTGTGGGCTCTAAGCTGACTTCATACTTCCCCAGGTCAAGGTCTTCCCTCCTCCTTCCTCTTCCAGAGTGGACAGGACACTGCCACCCTGGTTCCAGGCTTTCGTCTGGTCCAGAGATATTCTGCTGCTCAGCTCCTCTGGCCACAGTTACCAGCTGGCCAAAGGCTCTCCCTCCCGGGGATTTCACAGACCCATGGCCAGTGGCCTGGATCTCATCCTCTCTGGAGGCCAGCTCTTTCAACACTCTTCCCAGCCGGTTTTCATCCTGGCAGAGCAGAACACGTAGACCAATGTCTAGAAGGGGCCGGCTCCTGCACCCGGGGGAAGCAAGCCCGGGCTCACTTTCTGGAGCACCTCCTGTCCGACTGGCTGAAAAGGGAGGCTTTCTCCAAAGGAACCGGAGGCCAAGACCCTTTCCTGCTCAGCTCAGCTGCAACCCTGTATTATGAAATAATGAGTACAATTTGGCACCTGGAGGGAAAAGGGCTTTCTTTCAAGATTGTATAATCTACAAAAAATTAGAGGAAGAAATGTTTTAGAAATCATGGAATCTAACCCCTTATTGACAGATGTAGAAACAGGTCTAAAATTATGGAGGCTTTCACTTGCTCGAAATCAATCTAAACAGTTTCTGACTTCCCCCAAAAGCCCCATTTGCGTCCAAAAGGATATCTGTGGATTGAATGCACTTGCCCTTGGGGCAGAGCCAGGACTAGAACCTGGGTCTGTGCCTCCGGGCTCACAGCCTTTCTGCCCCAGGCTCTCTGTCTCCAGGGCCTGCGCCTGTCAAGACTGCGTGGCTTCCTCTGGGGCGCTCAGGCGCTGGGGCAGGGGCAGGTGGGTGATCTGTTAGACAATGAGTCCTGGGGGTTGCCTGGCACTGTGTGTCCTCCAGATGACAGCCCCCTAAGTCCGCCAGGGCTGGGGGGCAGGGGAGCATGTGCTCTGATCCAGGTGGGCTGGCTCACCTAAGGCTGTGGAAGCTTCCAGAGCCTAAGGAACTGCTCTTTCTCCCCTCCCTCTCCTTGCCACGCCCTCCAAGTCAATATAATGGAGCAGGCTCTTGGCTCACTAGGGTACCCACCTTGGGCACCCACCCACTTGGAAGGGACATTCAGTCCCCAGAGGACTGCTGGCAAGAGAAAAGAAGATAAGAGATGGGGGATGGGAGTGTGCGTCACAAATCCCGGCTGAGCTGCCAGAAGGCCTCAGCCACCCCTGGGTGTGTGTCCGCTTCTGAGCCTGTCTTCTCACCTACACGATGTCCTGAGTGGTGTTCCCTCAAGGCCTCTCTGGCTCCGAGAAATCTAGGATTCTCTTCTTCCTCACCCTAGTGTCCCCATCGATTAATGTCTCGTAGGTACTTAAAACAGTTCACTGAACCATTGAGTAAAACGGATCCTCCGTCAGTCCAAAGAGCACAGAGGCCCGGAAGGCAATGCCCCCCTCTGGTATCAACCACCTGAGGGACAGAAGCCACCAGTCTCTGAAAGCCCAGCAATGCAGGAGCCCTTTGCAAACCGGCTTTCTCTCCCAGAGGCACTGATGTGGCTGCAGGAGCCACAGGAAGCAGGAAAATGTGCCTAAAGGAGAGAGGGTGGCCAGACCCCCAAGAGGAGCAGATGTCCAGACTCGTACCATCCTACTACCCAGCTCCTGTCCTTCCTGCTCTTTCTGGCTTCCCTCTCCTCCGCGCCTTGTCTCCACTCTGTGTCCTCTCCCTGTCCTCTCCCTGCCCTCTCCCAGCACCTTTGCTCTCTTGCCCAGCCACAGCCTGTCTCCTTCCTTTATAGGGCCTCTGAGGCTTTTGCCGGATCCCATCAGCCAGAAAGACTCAGGGGCTGAGAGGAGACCGCCAGCTCAAGCCAGGAGCCTCGGACTTTCTCAGGGTCAGGGCAGGGAGAAAGCAGCAGAGGGATTGAATCTCTCGTCTGTGCTCTTGAGATGAGTACATGGAAAGGGACTCCTCTTTGTGGGAATCTGGAAGTGCATTTCTCAATACCTTCTTCCACAGGGTTCCTGGGGAGATGTCTTCCTTCTGGCCCTCCTCAGCCTTCCCTGACACACACTCCCGGGCACCGACCTAGATGAGGCAGAAAATTGCCCTCTCTCTTCCCGCTTGAGACCTATTTAGAAGTGGTGTGCGCGTGCGTGTGTGTGTTATGGTTGATGTGTGTGAGAGCATACACAGGCGCTATGAATGGCACTGAGGGTGCCGTGTTCCCTTGTGGTCAATGTACGGTGCATTTGGGGTGTACGTGGTCTATCTGTGATATGATATACTTGTATGTGCGTGTGTGGATGGAGTGTGTGGCACGACAGAACGCGTGGTGTTTGTGTGCGCAAGGGTGTGTAATGTGGTAGGTACGTATATGTGGGGTGTTAGGGGCACATTTGTGACGTGTGGCGGGGAGGACTGGAGTGGGTACGCGGCCACCTCAGTCCCACGTGGGAGCTAGCTGTCCAGGGTCACCCAGTCAGAGAAGCCAGGGATAACCAGTATCCAGGCAACCATGTTGGGGGGAGGGGAGGAGATATGGAGGTGAGGAATGGGCAGGAAAAGGAAGGGAGGCTGGGAATTGAAGAGGAGTTTCCATGGCAACTACCAGGGAGGTCACGTGCAAAAGGCTAAGTTGCAAAAACAGACACAACCACACATACACAATATGAGGGCGCGGGGCCCCCAGGGTGGGGTTCCTTGCACAGAGGGCATGGGCTGCCCACTGGCCCATCTCCAAACCTGGAAATCCGGGCCCAGCTAGAGAGCACAACGCCCAGGAGACAAAGGAAGTGGAGACAGAGGCCACGTTGGTGGGCAGAAAGCTCCACAGCCAGCCCCTCCTCCCCTGCCTGGGGGTTGGCAGTAGGGGCCTGACCAGGCCCACTCTCCAGCGCAGCTGCTCCCACCCTCGGGTGCCTTCTCTAACAGCCACCACTTGTAAGAGCCAGCAGCAAGCGCCAGGAGCTGGGGCTGCTCTTCCAACTGTCCATGGAAGCCCAGCGAGACACAATGGGGGAGGCTCTGCCAGAGCCAGCCCTGCTGGGGAAAGGGGCTGGGCATGGGGAAAGGGGAGAATGGGGGATCAGGGAGGCCCCCTGGAAGAAAACAGGACTGGATAAACAAGAAGGAGAAGAAAAACCAACAACAACAAAAACCAATGCAGACATTCTCATGAACCCCATGCTCTGGAAGCCCAGCCCTTCTTTACCCCCCCCCCAACCCTGCTTGCCCACCCCCCAGCCCCAGCTCCCATGCCCCCCAAGCACCAAACCAGCCGCCCCATTTTGTATTGCTGGTGTGTCTACACTCGCGCATCCAGCAACCTCTCCGTCTTCACATGCCCACGCTCCACTCCAGTGTCCACAGCCTCCCAGTAACAAAGGGGAAACTCGCGCTGGATACAGGGTGGGAGCTGCCCTTTGCCTTGCTCCAAACGCCGTAGCCCGGAGCTCGGCCACCGGCTTCGCCCCCACCGCCGCGGACGGCCTCCCCACTGAGGCCGCGGTCCTCTTCCGACGCCCACCTCCGCGTTCACAGCCCCCGGCGCGTTGTCGCCGCCCGGGCAGCCTCGGGCCCGAGAGGGCCGCTCACACCCACCGAAACAAACAACGCCGGGCCACTGCCCGCGCCGCGGTCGCTCCCCATCCCGGCCTCGCGCCCTCCTCCTCGGAAGACGAGCCCAACTTTGCCTCCCGCGCCGCCGCTTACCTGCCGAGCGCGAGCCCCTCGGAGAAGATCCCCGGAGGACGCACGGAGTCCGAGGAGCCTGGGAGCGGCGGGGCTGGGGGCAGGGCGGTGGGCGAGGCTCTCGCGTGTTTCCCGCCTCCCCTCCTGCGCAGGGCTGGGGCGGGCGGGAGCCGCGCGGCCGGCGGGGGCGGGAGAGGGGGGCGGGGCTCGGCCGGACCAGGGCTCCGGGACCCGCCGCCGCGGTGTCACCGGCTGGCTTGGCGCGAGCAGCCCCTCTGCGCCCCGCTCCTCGAGGGGTGAGGGCGGGCGCCTCTCCTAGGGCGGGCCCGCTCCCGAAGCAACAGGAGACAGCCGCCGAGGGGGCGAGCCCGCGCCCGGGATCTGCCCGCAGCCGCTGCTTTTTGGTTTTCCTCTGGGAAGGCAGCGAGACGAACACAATGACAGAGCTAGTGTCTCTCTGAAATAGTAAACTGAGGGGAACGGGAAAATAACCGAGCACCAGACACAGCAACCCACGTTAATTGGGAGGCTTGGCAATTAAGGGAAATGTGTACCCAAAGCATGAATGGCTGTGTCGTGGGCGCATGAGCGCGCTCCGGTTGTAGTTGTCATTTCCAGCTAGAGCCAGGTGGGGGGCGCGGGGCGGGGCGCTCACCCGACTCACAGGTGCGCTGCCCAGAATCCCCTTTCCAGGGCCCCTCGTCCTGGCCCTGCTGGGTTGCAATGCCTCCGCCACCCCAACCTCAGGCTCCAGATTTAAGAGGACAGCTGAATTTCGAGGTGTAAATCCTGGCTCTGCGGGGTCTACCTGTGACGTAACCTTGAGCCAATGGCTAAGGAAGATGTTGCACCTCAGTTTCCTTCCCGGTGACAATGGCTGTGGGAACACTCACCTCCTAGGAGGCTGAGCCCAGGATCCCCGAGGGAGTACTCTGCAAACCAGAGGCCACGGAGAGCAGAAAGGCGTGTAGGAAGGGGCCACAGAAACACAGCAAGGGCTGGCCATTCCTTGGTAGCCAGGAAGCCATGCTGCCTGCCACAAGGCTGCCCAGCCTGAGCCAGGGTGGACAGGCTGAGGGGTGTTTCCCGGGAGACACTGTCCCCACCTAGGCAGGGCCACAGAGACTTCCTTAAAGACCCCCAATCCTGGGACGAGGGGTACAGCTGGGAAGGGACCCAGCTCTACCTCTAACACCCCCAACCCTCAGCCTCAATATTTTTATTTGCAAAAGGAAGGACACTAGAGATTTCTAAAGCCACTTCAAGCCCTCACCTAGATGATTTTATTATTTTAAAAAATCATCAAGTCTCAAAACCCTGAGGCAGGACATACGCATGAATTCAAAAAGGCTTTGCATCGATTTGGAAGCCCTAAGTGGTCACTGAGAACAAGTGGGTAGCCTCCCTCACCCAAAGGAGACTGATGGGATGACAGTTTTCACCCACTGAGCACAGGACCTTGGACAAAGTAGACATGGTTCTGAGACAGTCCCCCAGCTCTGTGGGTACCTCTGAAGGCTAAAGCTCTAAGCCTGGCTCCAGTCTCACTGATCCACGGGACTCGACACAGACTGAGTCACCTTTCTGTCCCTGCCTTTTCCTCTACAAGTGAAGCCTTGGTGACAGCTGTCCTCCCTCTTCTTTTGCTCTAGCGGGTGAGCGTGATGAAACCACACCACTCGGTAGGCCCACGTCCTTGGGCAAACAGATTAATCCCTCCCAGATGACCTTGAGTGTTGCCTTTTGGCCATTTCTTTGCGCTGTTCTTTGGAATTCCTCCTGGTGGGGAACACACCAAACCCAGGCTTTGCAAGCCTGTTTGGGGAAAAAAAGGAACTCCGAAGCCAAGTCACCCGGAGTAGCAGCCCCGTTCCTGACACAGAATTGCAAGGTGTTTGGCCAAATTACTTCCTGGGAGCAGCTGTTGGCTTTGCTGACCAGTATAAGGGCTGGGGAGGGAGAACAGGACCTACGATCACTAGAGGAAGGCCCATGGCTCACCTCTCAAATTGTGCATCTTCACAGCTCCCCCAGGAGCACTGAAGAAAAAATCTGGGGTGGCACTGCCATGAAGCCCACACAAGTTTGTTTTAGAAAGAGTGGCACCCTCCTTCTTGGGGAAGAAGAAGCACATCTAGCCCCCGTGAAATGCGGGCGTGGGTGGGAAAGGGTCTCCAGCTGCTCCCCATTCTTTCAGTCCTTTACTGATGTGGGGAGCCCCTCTGCACCGAGCCCTGGGCCACACTCCAGGATACAACAGTGAAAGGAAAGGCTAACAGGTAAGATAGATATTTATCAGCTAGTCCTACAAAAAAGTTTTAATTAGGGGCACCTGTGTGGCTTAGTTGGTTAAAGTCTCTGCCTTTGGCTCAGGTCATGATCTCAGGTTCCTGGAATCGAGCCCTCTGCTCAGCGGGGAGCCAGCTTCCCTTCCTCTCTCTCTGCCTGCCTACTTGTGATCTCTGTCTGTCAAATGAATAAATAAAATCTTTTAAAAAAAATTTTAATTAAAACCTGGTTCAGAGTCCTGAGGATGTATCATTTGAAAAGCGAGCCAAATAGTCAAGAGGTGTTAAAGGGATGAGGTGAAGGAGCCAGGAGTTGGAGTGACAGGCAGGATTGGGAACTGAATCCAACATAGGAACAGAAGCCACACGTGCAAAGGCCCTGAGGCTGAAGGAGCATGGCATGAAAGGAGCCACTGTGGCCCTTGAGCAGGGGAGACAGGCTGGGGTAGGAAACGATGCCAGACCAGGCAGGCCTGGTAGATCCTGGGTGAGTCCAGCTCTTACCCTCAGGACAATGGGAAGCCACTGAAGGGCATTAGGAAGACAGTTGCAAGCAAGAACTGGGGAGTAGCTGGCTTACATTGTAGGAGGACCCAACAGTGACGGCTCAGGGGCTGTGAGGAGATCAATGGTAATGTGAAGGTACAAAATGAGCCTGGCCCCCAAATGAGGAGAACATGGCTTCTCTAAAGGCCCTGGGAGCAAAGAGAGAGAGAGAGAGAGAGAGCGAGCGAGCTGGGGCAGGGGTGCACAGCCGTGGTGGAAATAGGACAAGAAAGGCTAGCAACTGTTTCTAAAACTCTCCCCACTTGTCCAGAATTGGAGCCATGAAAAGACCTAGGGCTTAGAAGGACAGCCTAACTGTTGGGAGCACAAGGGACAGCTCAATGCTTTAAAGCTTGTGCTGAGCTCAGTAACTCACAACTGTGCTACTAAATACTAAAACCCCGTGTGGGGAACCCTTGCCTTGTCGCCAGGCACTGTGGCAAAAATAGCCTGTCAGTGTGTCAGCGCCCGGGGCACGGAGCGGCGGCCCCACTGACTGGAAGTGGAGGGCCAGCAGGGAAAATTAACAGGCAAGACCACGAGTTGTGGGGAAAGACCCCTACCTCTCCTGGCATGTAACCCTCCAAGGTGGCTTTGGGGTACCGTTTCACCCTGCCATGCATCCTGAGGAATCAGAGCAGCTCCTGCCCACCAGCTGCTACTTTCAATCCATTCACATTCACGTTATACAAGTTCGAATGCACCTTCGCCCCTCGGCCAAATGCGAGCCCCCGAACCCCAGGACAGAACCGTTTCCTAACTCCTTGGCTGAAAGTGCCTGGTCACTTCCAAACTGCTCCTTGAACCTGGTCTCTTCCACCCTCCCTGACCTGGGTTTTTGAACCGCCCCCAACCCCGCCCCAGCTTCTCCCTCAAACGGCTTGTCTGGGGCCCTTTGCCGCTTTACCCAGTTCCTGGACCATCCAGTCCACAACCATGGTTTTACCATCCACTTAGGGCTGATGGCCCCGCCCTCTCCAGCCCTGGTCCTCACCCCCAGAGACCCAGAAGAGTCATGCCCAGGGACCCAGCACTGCCCATGCTGAATCCATCATCCAACTGTCCTCACATATCAAAGGTGCTTCCCCTCCTGGGTCTTTCTTGAATTCCTAAATGGCACTGCCGCTCCCCCACCCCCCACCACCAGTCACTCACCCGGGAAAGCATGTACCGTCCTCACTCTCCTCCCGCCCAGTGCTTCTGTTCCAGATCAGGCCTCTCTGCTGCCAGACTCCTCTGGAGACTCTGCCTCAGTCTCCCCACCCCCAGGCTATCAACTCTCTGGTATTTTCTGCAGCTCGGATGTGACTCAAACCTTCAGCGGCTCCGTGTTTTCTACACCCTATAGTCTGACTTCTTAACATGACATTCCGTCTTTACAACCCAACACACACCCGCCGCTTGGCTTCATCTCCTGACCCCACTCTTTGCTCAGACTTCCCCATCCCATCTCCACCCCTGTCCGCCCAATCCTTGCAAATGCTGTCTCCCAGCCCAAGAGGGCCACTCACAATGATTCGAATATGCTGCCTGCTTGCTGCCCCCGATCTTTGCTCATATAGTTTCTCTGCTTCAAACATCTCCTAATTCCCTTCTCGTAAGAATCCTCCCTACTCTGCAAAGCTAAATTCAAACATCACTTTATTGAAATTAAGGCTGTCTTCTCCATGCTGTCATGACCAGTGTCAAGCTTCTACATTTATAATGGTGTACATTATCATCTGGCTTTTAGTTTGTGTCATTACCTGTGTGCGGCCCTAATGGAATGGGAAGTCCTTGGGGGCAGCCTGGCCTCTCACTCCATGTGTAGACCCCAGTGTCTCACCTGGTGACCTGTCTGTAGCTAGGCCTCTAGCTCACAAGACCGAGCATGATTATGTCCTAGCCAGCCTCTCCAGATTCATCATGAACACATTTTTCCTTGCTCTCTCAGCAATCTGTTAGTTTCACCAAAGCCTTCAGAACCGTCTCCCCATGCACTGGTACCCCGGCGCCTGCACACCTGTGTGTGATGCACTTGCTTTGTTCTGTCTTCCCCAGAAGAAAGGACGAAGGAGCAGTGCTGTTGAGGTCACAGGTAGAGGTGAGGGGAGTGGTGAGCCTCACGGGGCTCTGGGGCCAGACCACCTGCAGGGGAAGAGAAGGAGATCCTGATACCAACATGGGGGGGACATCTCTGATGGTGGAGGGAGCCATGGGGACCAGGTGGATAGCAGACACTGCTGGTTCCCTAGATCAGCTTGGTTTTCTTTTTCTTTTCTGTCCTTTCGCTAACTGAGCTACAATGTGCTCTGTTTAAAAACCACCTGTTCTCCAAATTTACTAGAGGGGTCTATGTGACCCAGCTCTGGCCAAGAAGATGGCAACAGAATT